CCAGCCGCTGGCTTCTTTACTTTTCATTCCATCCAGGAGGAACACACACCAACTGCAGAAACTTCCTTAGCCTGACGAAGGGTTTTTGAACCCGAAAGCTTGCTTAATAACTATTCTCCAACCATTTGGGTTGGTCTAATAAAAGATATCAGATTCACCCAAGGAACCTTGTCTGCCTATGTCCTTAGACCAACACGGCTACAACCTACACCCCTGCAGCATGAGGAGAGAAGCACTCGCTAACTCCCGGCATCACTGTCCCCTACACCTCCACACCACCTAGGGTGCCATAACTTATAGTTATGCTTCTAGATGCTCAGCCTCCACAAGAGAAGGCTGAGGGGGGATCTAGTGGCCTGTTACAAGTTAGTCAGAGGGGACCAGCAGGCATTGGAGGAGTCCCTGTTCCCCCGAGCACTACCAGGAGTGACTAGAAATAACGGTCACAAGCTGGTAGAGGGTAGATTCAGGCTAGACATCAGGAGGCGCTACTTCACAGTCAGGATGGCTAGGATCTGGAACCAAGAAGCTAGGATCTGGATACCAACTTCCAAAAGAAGTGGTGCTGGCTCCTACCCTGGGGGTCTTTAAAAGGAGGTTAGACGAACACCTTGCCGGGGTCGTTTGACTCCAGTACTTTTTCCTGCCATGGCAGGGGGTCAGACTTGATGATCTGCTCAGGTCCCTTCCGACCCTAGAAACTATGAAACTATGAAACTATAGATAGAACACTTGCCTAGGATGCCTTGCTCTCCCTGAGTGTGGTCCATGGGTTTAAGGATGTGTTTCAGCTGATGCTGGCTCAGTTTAGCTAGGTCCAACAGCTATTATATGTTACATTTTGTCATAGGCGCTGAGTACATGGGGGCCCAAGGGCCCTGGCCCCCATTGGGAAAAGGGCTGTAGGAGCCCAAACCTGAGGAAAATTATGTAATATTTCTTAGGAACAATAACTGAGGCCGGGGATCTGGGCGTTTCATTCACTAAGAATAAACATGGATTTTCTCCATTAATGGTGGGTTTCACCTTGCAGGCTGGCAGCATTCAGGCCTGGGGGGAGCGAGGAAGGCAATCAGAGGCAGGGGGTGCCAGGTGGTGGAAGACACCTCCCACAGCTCCCTCTAGGTAAGTCTATGGGGAGGGAAAACACATGCTGTGGCCGAGGGCAGGGGCCCAAGACAACACAGCAAGGAGGTCATGTGCACCCCTGAGATTTCTGTGCCCACCTTGGGGCACGGGGCATAGGGCTGCAGCAGGGCTGGACCAGCTCCAGGCAGGAGCTGCCTCTGTGGTCCAATGGGTGGGACCGGGTGCATGAAGGAGCGGCGTGCCGCCACGGCCACCAAGGTGAGGTGCAGCAGCGATAGCAGCAGCGGCAGTGGAGAGTTGTGTCCCCCTCCACTGTTGCCAGGTGGGCAGGGCACCTCACCTTGGCAGCCATGGCAGTGCTGTGCTCCCACCTGCACAGGGTCCTGCCTCCTTGTCCACGGAGGTGGCTCATGCCCAGGGCTGGGCTGGCCCCACTGCAGCCCCACCCCACACTGTGGGTGCAGAAATCTCAGGCGGCACGTGCCCCTCCACTTCCCTGCTGCATCGCCTATACCTCCTCCTGCCCCGCCACCCATCACCTGTATCCACACCCCCCTTCCCCACAGACTGGGGGTGGGGAGTATATGTACATCATCTTAGGGCCCCTCCAGCAAAATAGAAGTTGGTGCTTATGCACTGTAGTATCCACTCAGGAAAATGGAAGCTTGCAAAGCCTTTTAGCCGCTCTGTACATGCATATAAAATGCTACCCATTTGGTTCACAAGTTATGCCCATGCCTGTTTTCAATTATGCTCCCATAGAAGGGTGGTAAATGCCATCCAGAAGAGGCAAATATCTGGGACTAGTTTAGGCACTCAGAGCCAAGTTCTGATACCCAGGTGTAGGCAAATGCAAACTGGTAGAATCTGTCAAGCTTAAAAAGGCTGTTTTTTGTGGGAGGCTCTATGCTAGGATCCTCTTTTTCAAATGAAGCCAAATTTGAAACCTACCTTTGCCTTCATTGGACAAGAATTTCAGAGAAATCTAACTAAGCAGGTGGTATATAGAACACTTAAGAACGGGTTTATACACAGAAGGGGATTCTCAACAATAACTGTGCCATAGCTGGCATTCTAGTATAACAAACCATATAGGCTGCTTGCAGACATGGGAGGGGAAAAAAATGCAGTTTCCTGGAAGCAGCAGCATGTTACTTTGACCCAGCTCTGCAGTATCTGCATAGATCAGGTGCATCAGTGAGGCTTTTTGACTCTTATCTAAAGCTGATTCAATCAGTCATTAGATAAAAAGTGGCAAAAAGGTCCCACTAAAGTGCCTGATCTATACAGATGCTGCAATAACATGCTCCCTCTTCTGGATACATGCTGGGCTCAGTGTGGGAGTGCACTAAATTGAAAGTAAATCGTGGGTTGTTTTTTTTTGTTTTCATGTCTGTGAGCAGCCATAAATACCAAGGTATCATTTTTTACTGACATCAACAATAGACACTGCTCTCTAACTCCCTTAGGTGCTTTGGATAATCACACAAGGATACTAGAAAATGTTTTCAAATCATAATAAAAGAAATGAAAACTACTGACATTTTAAAATGAATGGCATAGCAATTTTACTGCACTAATATTGTATTTACACCCTACAAAGGGATACATATTTTTCATTACCTTATCTTTTTGGCCAAGTGCAGTCCAAATGGTTAGTTCTTTCTTCAGTTCATCTTCATATTTCCATGCATCTGCCTTTTTTATTACTATTTTATTCTTGAAAGAGAGAAACTCCTCAGGATCCAAGTCCTGAAAAGCACCAGAAATAAAATCACGGCAAACTGCTCTACCAATCTTTAAAAAAAAAAATAGTCCCCATCTAATTTTTACACACACCTGTGCTCCTGGCCAGTCCTGCCAGACTTTTACCATTGTGTCATACAGCTGAAGGCTCTCCCTGGGAGATAGGGCAAGATCTGAAGGAATACCATATTTCTCAATCTATGGGTATATGAAGAAAAAAGATTCAGCAGAATGATTTATTTGTGTTTACTATGGCTAATATAACTGATACAACCATTTTGGTCTTGGTATTACACTTACATGATTCACTGTTAGGGCAGCACATGGGTGATAGTGCTCTAAGACAAAATCATCATCCTTAAAAGAACACACATACTTTTCTAGATCATTGTATCTTTCTCCATGCAGCACTGTTATTAGAAGAACAAACATTATTTACAAATTAAACCTATGATTCTTTCTTTTAATGATTAAGGCCCCAGTCCTGCAAAGGCTTTTTACTCCAATGAGACTATTCACAGTACTTCAAATAAAGCCTTTGTATAGCTGGGGCCAAACGCTGATTTGTACATTTAAAAATATTCTGATACAAACCTAGTCTAACTGTATGTGATTTTGAGGGGGGTTGTAGCTTTGGCGTCCTTGCATGTTTCTTGGGAGCTGTGGACATTTCTTCTTTCACTGTAACCTCAGCTTGCTGCCAGTATCTTTTTACTGATTGCAGCCACCTACAGTATCAGAACACAGAAAAGGCACTGGAGCTGTAAAATACCTTAAAGAATATACTTGTATGTATTTGCACCAGGAAAAGGACAAATTTTGTATATTGGCATATATGTTATTAAAGTTTCAACCTGAGCTAAATTCAGTGAGTTTGTACAAATAAACAGATTTAACCAAATAACTCCCTTTAACAGCGTTTCTTGAACCTTAAAAGAAAAGCTAGGATTTGAGTTTGGTTCTAGAAATAATGAAAAGTTTAGCAATGCAAAGCATTCTCACTTTGACCAAACTGAATGTACCTATGACTAGACTTGGAAAAAAAAACAACACAAGAAAATGAAGACCGTCACTATAAACAAGTTGTGGGTTGGGGTGGGTGTGCGTATGTTTCATAAGCAGGTGTAGAAGTCAACTGGAAATGGGAAAATATAGTGCCTATATTTAAGAAAGGGAAGGAGGAGGATCCATAGCACTAGAGACCAGTCAGCCTTACTTCAGTCCCTGGAAAACTCACAGAGCAGGTCCTCAAGGAATCCATTCCTAAGCACTTGGAGGAGGAAAAGGTGATTAGGAACAGTCAGCATGGATTCACCAAGGGCAAGTCATGCCTAACCAACCTGATAGCCTTCTATAATGAAATGACTGTCTTTGTGGATGCAGGGAGAGCAGAGGACATGATATACCTTGACATTAGCAAGGATTTTGATACAGTCTCCCAGAACATTCTTGCAAATGCACTAAGGAAATAAGCTGGGTTGGATGAATGGACTGTAAGGTGGATAGAAATTGGATGGATCATCAAGCTTGAAGGTTAGTAATCAATGGGCTCGGCTCAATGATAGCTGCTATCAAATGGAGTGCCCCAGGGATTAGTCCTGGGGCCAGTTTTGTTCAATCAACAACCTGGAAATGGGATGGAGTATACCCTGCAGATGACACTAAGCTGTGGGGAGTAGTAGATATACTGGAGTTTAGGGCTAAGATTCAGAGACATTGACAAAATTGAAGACTAGACCAATAGAAACTTCCTTCAATAAAGAGAAGTGCAAAATCCATGCACCAGTACAGGCTGGGAACCAACTGGCTAAGCACCAGTTTTGCAGAAAAAGACCTGGAAGTTACAATGGACAATAAGCTGAATATGAGCCAACAATATGCCCTTGTTGTAAAAAAGGCTAATGGCATACTGGGCTGCATTAGTAGAAGTGTTGCCATCAGATCAAGGGAAGTGATTCTTCCCTTCTATTCAGCACTATTGAGGCCACATCTGGAGGACTGTGTCCAGTTTTGCACTCCACCCCCCTCCCACTACAGAAAAGATGTGGACAAAGTGGAAGCCAGTGGAGAGAAACAAAAATGTTAGGGGCCTGGGGCACATGACTTCTGAGGAGAGGCTGAGGGAAATCAGCAGCGGCAATGCATAAGGAGTGCACAGGGGTGCATGTGCACCCCCTGAGAATGCTGGTGCACCCCCTGACAGCCACCATTCCCCACTTAGGCAATGGGCAGGGGGGCGGGTGGGAGTGCTGGTGCCCCCCCCCCCGAGAGTGCCGGCTGGGGAGTGGGGGTGCCAGGAGAAGCGCCGCTGGCACTTCCCGGTTGGCATGATCAGCTGTGGGAGGACGCCTCCCCAGTCACTGACTGGCTGCTGGGGGGGCAAGTGCCCCCCACCACTCCCCCTGGCTCAGGAGGCACCAGTCACCCATGGGGCTCATCTTATTTAGTCTAGAGAAGAGAAAACTAAGCGGGGAATTAATAGCAGCCTTCTGCTACCTGAAGGGTGGTTGCAAAGAAAATGGAGCTAAACTGTCCTCAGTGGTGGCAGATGAAAGAACACGGAGCAATGGTCTCAAGTTGCAGCAAGGGAAGTTTAGGTTGGATATTAGAAAAAGCTCTCTCAGTAGGAGGGTAGTATAGCTTTATCTAGCTGCAACAGGTTACCCAGAGAGGTTGTGGAAGCTCCATCCTTGGAGGTTTTTAAGACCCAGCTAGACAAAGCCTTGACTGGGATGACCTAGCTGGAGGTGGTTGTGCTTTGAGCAGGGGATTGCATTAGATGACCTTCTGAGGTCCCCTCCAACACTAATTTTCTATGATTTTAAGTTAAGGCTAAGAAGAGAGATGCTAGGGATTTGATAAGCCAACCACCTCCTTGCTGTCTCCTCCCAGATGCTCTCTTGGTCCCTGCTTTTCCCTATTGCAGTAGGAGTCATAATCTAATTAGGGACAACTAAGAAAGTGAGGAAAGTCTAAGAGTTGCTCTTTACCAGAAAATGATATTTTTAAATAAACAGGAATGTTTCCACCTATTTCACTATCCAAAGTAATTTTCTTGTACTAGATTTAAGTAATTCACATGCTCTTAAAAGTAAGAAAACTTCAGGCTTACTCAGTAAAATAGTCTGGATTACTGATAGTTGCGGACAGAGCCAAAACTGGACACTGAATCATAACCAGAAGGTGCCTCCAAACTTCAGCTCCAATTTCTCCACCTAGACAATGTACCTATATTTGAAAAGATATACAACCAAAATTCAGGAAACAGATATTAATAAGGAAATAGTTTAAATGTTGTTACATCTAGTATACCCTCCATCTGTAAACAGGGCTGGCTTAACCCTTTAGTGGCCCCTATGCAAACTCATGTGCCCCGGGCCAGTCAAAACCCCCCCATCCTGGGCACTGCCACCTGCAGGAAGTGGGGCTTGGAGCCACTGCTAGGAAGCAGCCACTGCCATGGCGAGGCTGGAAGAGGGGAAGGGAAGGGGGGCAGATAAGGCCATTCGCACTGCCACTGTGGAGGGAAGTGTCAGGACCCCCACAGCTCAGGGCCCTAGGCATGTGCCTAGTGTGCCTATGCATTAATCCAGTCCTGTCTGTGAGCATAATTCCCACCAACTGTGAATTCATACAGAGAGCTTTTCTGTGACTGATCCTGTTGCCAGGTTTCTCCATAGCAGATTCTGTGAGAACAAATCAATCTGAAATTTTAGAGGATTTGTCTACCCTTTGGCAGTGTTGTGTCCTGGCCAGGACAGGACAGAACACACTGTATCCACACCACATTCATCCATACCCATACTATACCAGGGGAGGCCACCCTACTGCCCACTGCCAGACATCATTGAGACTAAGCACCCTCACCAGTGAACTTCTGGATTTGGGATATGCTTGCAGGCACAGTTGGGCAGGGAATGCTCAGGTTCATCCCACAGTGCCTGATTTGAGGAAAATCTTGCTTCCAAAAACCAAACCAAACAAAAAAAGACATTTTGTGACACATCACTTGCAGTATCAGTTGCCAAAAGCAGAAATTACTCTGTTTTGCGTTATCATATCCCCTGTTATTATCACAGCCTCCACATTTAAACAGTCCCAGCAACAGTAACACATTTTTCCATTATAAGGATGAAGCAAACTGACTAACCCTAATACAGAAAAATAGCCTCTTTTAATTAATTTATATCTCAATCCCATGGGGGTTTCTTATAATGAGGTTGTACTGTATACAAATTCTGAAAACATAGGGCATGTGTAGATGAAACGGGGGCCCTAAATTGAAGTGGAGGGTTTTAAAAAACACCACTTCAATTTAGGGCTGATTAAACCCCTGTGTCGTGCACACACCCTGCTGACTTACCTACCTTTCTGGCAGGGAGAGGAGGGCAAGCTGCCGGTGGGTGGAGTGGGCCCTGGGCTTTGGGGACGGGGCTGGTGCCTCCCTCTGCGGCAGCTGCAGCTCCCCCCCTCCCCCCTCCCAGTGGCACCCATCCACAGACACCCAGCTTAGGTGGTCCCAGGAGGCACCACAGCCACAGAGGGAAGCACCAGACCCCCACGCAGCACAGGCAGGCTCCAGGGGGCGGGGGAGGAGGGAGATCAGGCTCACCACTTTTCTTGGGCAGAGCTGCTTTCCCAGGCTGCTGTCAGGTTGCCTGCAGTGCCATGGAGCTGCACGGAGCCCAGTGCTTCGCTCCACAGCTATAGGGGCAGCAAACTAAAACTCCTCAAAGAAGTTTTAGTTTGCTGCACCCCAAGTCATTTAATGCGTATTATGTCGCCAAATTTCCCACAGCAGCTGGAATTAATGTGCAATATGGTGCCGAAGCATATAAACACCAACACCATTAAAGTGGTGCAAAAGCATTTAGCACACTTTAAAATGTACACACACACCTCTCATTTCATCTACACATGGCCAAAGCTTCCTTCACAAAATGCCCACCAATAATTCAGGCATGGCTATATATGCCATCAAGTCCCCATTCCAATGCCCATGGAGTCCATCCACTGATTTCAGGGAGTATTGGATCAACCTGTAAAGGCTCAACACTACATTAACTTTACACCCAAAGTTCTTGTTGACAACACTAGCAGTTTAGCTCAAGAATAAATATAAGACAGAGCCCTATTTCATTTTATGTGACTACATGGCATATGACATGGATCCAAACGACAGCAGCTATCGGCACTTAACAGTTTCAAATTCTATTTTGCCCTCCTGCATTTTATCTCAATAGCCTAGAGGTTATAGCAGGAAGCAGGAGAACTTGGTTCTAACCTCACTTGAGGGCTTGAACCTGAAGCTCCTGCTTCCCAGCAAAATGCCCTAATCACCTAGCTAGAGGTTAGGCATTATCTAAACCTTTGAAATGACTCATTATATCTTGCATTTACTATTCACTGGACTGTACTGGGGAAGTTTCTGCCCCATTGGGAACAGTATCATAGGCTAGATCCTAGAGCCTATGCAAGGGAGCATCCATTTTACTGAGTCTTGTGACTTGTATAGGACTATCCTCTGGCTTGTGTAGGAATCATGCTGTAGTACAGGGCTGGCCAGCTTCTGGGCCACTGGGAGCTACAAGCTGTGTGGGTTACAAACTCAGGGGCCACAGGTATCATGTATTACTCACCATGTAGGCTGTCCTCCCAACCCCATCTCCCAACCAGGTGGGCAGCCCAGCCCCACTTGCCATACACAGGACACATCTACACATGCCTCTTTTAAGCTGGCTTAACCTAAAATCACCAATTTTAGGGTGCATTAAGGGTGTGTGTCTACACGTGCACACCCTTAATGCACCTTAACAATGGTGATTTAAGGCTACATGAGCCTAAATTTGATACCTGCATAAAGCAGGTATCAAATTTAGGTGCGAATAGCTAAGTCACATTAGCTCAAATGCAGATGTGCTAATGCACATTAACACAGTGTGCGTTAATGGATACACACCGCGTTAATGAGCATTAGTGTGTCTGCACATGTGTTAATGCAACTGAGCTATTTGCACCTAAATTTAATGCGCCTTAACAAGCATTAGCGCATACATGTGTAGATGCATGCCCAAATCACCTTAATGAGCCTGAAGCAAAGGCGCATTAAGTTTAGGCATGCGTAAATACATGCGTAGACATGCCCACAGTGCAGGTAGCCTGGCTCCCGCACCCCACCATATGCACAGACAACCTTGCACCCAGGAAGTCCACCCAATGCAAACAGCCCAGCTCTTTTTCTTGCCACACATGTAGCACTCACAGCATAGGAACACCAGAGTCCCTATTACCTGTGCAGCACAGGCACCCTGAAGCCCCTGCCAAGAATGCAGCATGGGTAGCCCTGTCCCCTCCCCACAGGAACAGAGGCAGGAAGTGGAATCTGGAGGAGGGGCCCAAGGAACCCATCCACCACCTCAGCAGATGCAAAGGGGGAAGCAGCAGCTAGGCAGCAGCCTACCAACCACACGCTAACCCCTGGTGGACTAGCTATACAGCCCTGCCATTGTATTAAGGAATTAACATATCCTTATTATATAACAGGTGATGGTATGTATGAATATATTGTTATTGTTCACCTTCAGCATGAATCAAAACTTCAGGAATCCATGGTTTAAACAAAAAGAAAGACACAAGGGCCTTTTGCAGATGTTGCTTCCTTCAAGAAACAGGAAATGTAGCTCAATGGAAATATCATGACATGTGACCTGCATTCACTGGGCAGGCTATCTGGAGGGGGTGGAAGTGCCCTAGGATTTTGCTCTGCTAGCACCTGCCAGTAAAGGAAGTTAAAGAGCTACTAGCAAGAGCCAATGAAAAGTGAGCTCTGAGCTTACCTGTTTATCAGTTGGGCTCCCCCTGGGTAAAGGAACTGCACAGAACAGGGGAAACTGGTGCAAAAGTGGGGAACAAGAACTCTGTAGCTCACTCTCGCAGGACACCTTATAAGGTACTTTTAGGTAAGTTATTTTTCTCTTTCCCCATCTTGCCCTGCTCACAGCTTTCCAAAGAGATTCCCTCCCCCATCTCCTCGCCTCTCTCAAATTCCTTCTTTGTGCAAGTAAAGCATGTCAAGTTGTTTGCTTACATACTGGCTCTCTGAAAGAAGCAGCCTTGAAAACTAGATGAGGAAAGGGAGTCATTAGTCTTCTGCTGCTACATCTTAGGTCAACAGAGCTCAGCATGAGTCACAGAGAGTCCTTTTGCAGGAAGGAAGCAGGAGAGAGAGCAGTCTACCTTCAGATGCTAGAGAACATGGCCAAACATTAACGCTATGTGTAATATGCCACATGTTCAAGTTAAAGTGCTATACAAACAAGCTGCAAAGATATTCTATATATGAGTAACATCTTTGAGGCTGGATCCCCATTTCTGTGGCTCGCTAATGGGTGATAAATTGCTTGAACATGCAACATGTTACAATTCATTGCTCCATTAACACATTAATCACACTTTAAAGGTAATGTCTGGCAGAAGCCACAAAGAAAGAGGACAGTCAAAATGCTAATGTTGTCAAGGTGGAAGGGGCTAAAACTCAAATAAAGGAAAGAAGCTATTATTGATGTTAGCATAAGAAGAAAGGTGGCAGACAAACAAACAGATTGGAATGCAAACCACTTGGATATAGTACATCTAAGAATGGACTAAAGAGAAACAAGGGTTGCAGAAGGTTGTATGTTTGGGAATAATAGGGTAGGTATTTGTGGATATTTGACTAATTATTGGAACTGAAAAGAAGATGAAACAATGAGAAATCTAGGGAGATAAAACAGGAAAGATGAGGTTTTTGCTAGTGTGAGCTAATCTGCTAGTGCTAACCAGCAGAGGACAGTTAGCGCCTCCATTGCCCAATCAGTTCTAGCTAGTATGATCAAATGCTTCTAACTCTAAGTACTGTGTGGGTGTAGTTATTAATAAGTATTATAACACTGCTATCTAATACTGTATTTACTGGCATACTACACATCCCCTTTTCCACCAAACCATTTGTAGCAGGGCACTAAGGCACCTGCTACTCATGGAGCGGAGATAACTACCCAGGTGCAGGTTGCTAGGGCAACCAGAGGGAGCTAGTGACCCACACCTGCCAGCGGTCAGATGACCAGAAGGGGCAGGGCCTGGCTCACATTTAAACCCCAAGGCTAAGGCCAGGCAGGCAGTTTCTTGCTGGCAGCCAAGGGGGAAGGAGCTCTACCTGAGCAAGCAAAGGGGAGAGGCCTGGCTGTAAGTACAGTCCCTGAGACCAGTGAAGGATGGAATACCCTGGGTGTGGCTGGAATAATGTTATAGCCGGGTGGCTAGAATTTATGTTATAGCTCAGGGGCTTGTGTTTGGTTTGTTGTCAACCGGTGGCTTGAGTGAGACTATAATGGGATGGAGGAGGCCTCATAGGGTACTCACAGCAGTGAGAAGCCCCAGAGAGGGGGCAGCGCAAGACTGAAGAG